TATGTATTAACCGATTGTCAGCGAAGTGTCCTGCTGCCCCAAAAATCGTACCGTGTTGCGAGGGGCTACTGACATTTGTGAGTAATGAGCGTTCACAGAGAAGCGGTTGTTGGATTTTCACGGCATCTCTGAGTGGATGGTCTCATCTTAACCACAACAGAAACAAACAAACTGTCGGGTTGAAGTTCAATGATGAAGAGACGTTCTTGAAAATATTAACCAAATGTTGCAAATGAGATGCTTCGTTTTGTATACTCTTATTTAACCCTATCCTATGCCGCTCTTTGAATGCGTAATAACTTTCCTCAAACCGGCACCGGATTCGATGATTTCTAACTTCTGGACTCGAAGGTTATTCTCGAACAAAAGCTGAATGTCTCTGGATTGCTCACATTTTAATCGCTTCGTTACAGTACGAGGTATCCGCACCCACTCTAACCAGGGCTACTTTCGTCCCCGCAGGTGCTGTGTTGCTCAGGTGATTGTCCTCAAATTGCGCTACATTTTCCAGCAGCCAGATACGGCTAGCACCGTACTGCATTTTGATCTGACCACCGAAACTCATTGTTCAACATAATGAAAGTAGATTGCATACCTGAGAAGCTCATAAGACCTATGGAGACACAAATCAGATTCTTGATTCCGAGACGCCTGTCTTCAGTAGTCTTCGGCGTTATCCTTAAACTAGAGAGTTTGAGAAAGTTATTCGCTGTCTTCAGTACTGCTCAATTACATCATTGACTGAATGACAAACGGTGCTTTCGATAATTTTTTATTTCACGCCAATTGATTTACAGCCAATGGTTAAACTCCATGGTCAGTGACATAATTTAAGAGCGAAGGTATTCAAGGCATTCAAGTGAGAATCGATTTGTCAATCCTGCTTTTGAAGAATAAGATTATAAGCGGTTAGAAATAGGGAGATGGGAAGAGTGTTTCACAATTTCGCGGTCCTTGGGAAACAAGAGGTCTGGAAGATAGCAGCTCGACATCTGAGGCTGAACCTTGATAAGGTTGACTGCCCGCCTGAAGACCCGATGAACATGAAGCGACTTCAGAAGAACAAAACCAAGGTAGAAAAGAGGTAAAGGAGCAACTGCCTTGCGATGGGAAAGCGATTGCAAACTGGAAGTTGAAGGCGATTCTTTGGTCAAACGATTCGCCTAACGTGGAACACGGTCGAGAAGATTAGGAGTGGAATGTGAATCTCCACTCTGCACGCCATTGCAGTATTTGACATTTGACGGGTTTTTGTATTGTATTGTATTGTGTATAACTTTTGCAAGCACTGGGGCTCACAT